CATGTATAATCAATTCATCTTTATGATACTAAGTTAAATATTTGTAAGGATGATTTGTCCTAGAATTTGGAAGCAATATAAGTATATGTATATTATTAAAATCTTGGATGTGTAAAATCAAGATCAAGCTCTTATTTTTCTGGGAGTGTATGCTATTAGTAAGGAATAGTTGGTGATAAAAAGTTACATGCCCTATGTCTGCCTGCTGTCCTTTCTCTGATAAATGCCAACGGGTGAATGAGAGGGATATATAGAAATATTCAAGAAGGTTTAGTCAGGCATAGAAATCCAGACAAGAAACTAAGGCATAAGCCAGGGTCAGAGAAGTCCTAGGGATTTTAGGAAAACTAGAGGCCCTTAATTATTTACCACTTAAACTTTTTGATAGAATTGTTAAGTTTTAATGGTATGTGTGGAAGATTCCTCTGTGCCTCTACCCGTGGTTCTCAACCTTCTGGCCCTTTAAATACAGTTCCTCATGTTGTGACCCAACCATAAAATTATTTTCGTTGCTACTTCATAACTGTAATGTTGCTACTGTTATGAATCGTAATGTAAATATCTGCTATGTAGGATGGTCTTAGGCGACCCCTGTGAAAGGGTCGTTTGACCGCCAAAGGGGTCGCCACCCACAGGTTGAGAACCGCTGCTCTACACTGATAGGATTGATAGTTCGAGTTCTCACATTTGGTAAAACTTTGATTTGAGCTATCTGTATTGGGTAAGTGGGTATGTAGAAACAGTGCTGTGAAGTCAACACCGAGTATGAAAGTTCGGTAGGATTGCCATGACACTGGCACAGGGCTTTGCGGTGCTGGAGGAATCTTAAGGAAGTTACTTCAATAACTTTTTAGAGTTTTAGAGTCTACAGTTCATAGGTGCTCAGTTGGGATGGTGTTTGGGGATGTGTAGATGGTTTGATTGTCAAAGTGTGTGAAGGCACTACTGGCATTGGTTGTACAGGGCAGTGCTAAATGGCCTTAAAGGAAGGGACAGTCGCTCAGTCCAAAATGCAGTGGTCCTCAAAGTCTCAATTCTTTTGTTGTAACAACATCTCTTATTTTTAATAAAAAATATAACTTAAAATATCATTTGAGAAGCGTTGGATTTGCAGTGCGTTTGGTATTGTAGAATATTTTAGGTATATTATTTGACATTGTTGTAAGCTAAGAGGGAGAGAGAAAAAAATTAGGGTCTGGTTTTTAGCCATTAGGATTTGAAATGATTGACAGAAGGGTCCAAGCATGTAGATAAGTAGTGAACTCTAAAAAAAAGACGTTAAGATCCTTTTGTTCTCTGGAAAGAAATGATGAGTGCATTCCTATTTGGACAAAGAGGGAATGACAGTGTAGAAAGAAGATTATTAATCATGTAACAATCTGAATTATATTGTAAAATTTTTATTAAGGAAAAGTTGAGATAACAATAAAAGAACAATGGGCCCTCTGTATTTACAGGTTCTGCACCTACAGATTCAATCAATCAAGGATTGAAAATATTTTGGGGCGGGGGTGGGTTGGGGGGGAGTTAGGTTGTTGAAGATCTGTACCATGGAGTTAGGTTTACAGTGATGATGATTGCGTCTATACTGAATATTTACAGACTTTTTGTCCTTGCAATTATTCTCTAAACAATACACTGCAACAACTATTTACACAGCACTACATTGTATTAGGTATTATGGGTAATCTAGAGATGATTTAAGTATATGGAAGGATGTGCCTATGTAGGTTATATGCAGATGTGCCATTTTATGTAAGGTGCTTGAGCATCGGAGGATTTTGGTATCTGTGGGGCAGTTGGGGGTGGGGACTGGTTCCAGGATTGATACTGAGGGGCTACTGTACTTTGATACTTTAGGTATGTGGTTGCAGATGTCAGGGTATCTCAGTTGTTTGAATTGCGCCTGTGAGCTAGCAACTGCAAAATGGGAAGAGAGAGAAGAAAATGTTGTTGTTTTTTTAAAAAAGAGGGAAAAACAAATGGAAAGCACATGAAAAGAAGGAGGCAGCATCTGAAAAAAAGGGCAGTTCTATTCTTTCATGTCCTTAGGATAAAAACCCTGGTGTCATCTCTGACTTTTCCTCTTTCATACCTGAAATCTAATCTGGCATCAAATCCTGGGACTCTATTTTCCAAATAGATAAATGT